TCAATAGTTGTTTGTGTGTGCAAGTGTGTGGTATGTCATGTGTATTAGTGTTGGATGCTTCATTTCTAATGAAGATGTGTATCAGACACTCTCACAAACACCCTGTCAGATTCGCTCTCCCAACAGTCAAGTCAGTTAACTCTTGAGTTTTCCCCACAATTTTAGGGGAAAGTGCTTAAAAGTTTTTTTTTTAAAAAAGGGAGACATTCACTTTTAATTTTTTTTAATTTAAGACACAGAAAAAGAAAGTCAAGGCATTTTGCCAAAAATAATATTCATAATAGTCAATATTCTTAAGTGAGTAATACATGCCATCCACTAGTCTGAGCTCTTTATATGCACTAATTCATTTAATTCTCCCAAAAATGTTATGAAGTAGGAATAATTATTACTCCCATTCTAGAAATGAGGACTCTGAGTCATAAAAGTTAAATAACTGGCACCAAATCACTTACTCTCAGTACAAGTGACGGAATTAGGATCTGAATTCAGAAAGCTCAAGAGCCCACACTCACTGCCTCTACAGTAGGCACTGTAGAAAATGTAAAAAGGTACATTTTGCTCATTTAATTTAATACTCCTGTTTATACTGAGGACTGAGATCAAAGACATTACACTGTAATTCCTCTAACACTCAAGAACTTACTAGACCTTCTCTCCATTAACATGGAGTAGCCTGGGCTGGTTTCCACAGAACACCCAAGATTAAAAAAACCCTTTCTACCTCAAAATCAAACACTTCGTTGAACATTTTCACAGACTTCCCTAGTTTTCCTAACTTGAGAGCTCCCTAAATTCCTAAAAAAGGAATCCCTGACTTGGGACAGTAATGAGACAAATGAGCCAAACCTTTCAATTAATGAAAAAAAATTCAATGAATCCCCTTCCTTCATTCAACCATTCAGGCTTAGTAACATGTCCTAAGAATATCATTTTCAAAGTTCCAGAGGAGTAAACAAAAATGACTGTGACCATATCCAGTAAAGGGGGTAACAGCTCCATCCTATATTTCCTCCCCCAGCTGGGTGTCCCACTAGTTGACCTTTATGCCCATGGAATCTTGATTTTCCTCACTTCCCAGGCTAAGACAAATGAGGTCTTCTGACTTTTCTGCCCCTGGAAACAGAAATGACTGATCATATAATCCTATACAGATTATTCTTTCGTAATGGACCCCACGTGATGCTTTCGTTCACGAGGCATGGTTTTTACTCTAGCTTGTGAACCTTCTCCCCAGACCTCATGTCTGGCCCTCTCTTTTGTCTTTCTGCCTTCATTCTATGTTCCTTTCGACATACCACTCTCTGAGTGAACAGAAGGTGAATCAGTCTATCACTCCCCTTGTCTTCACCATGATTCAAGCTGCACTTAACCTTCTTCCTCATATTTAGTGCCTAGTATTTCTCAACATCACTTCCCATCTAGAGAAGCTCTCCTTCCGATGAATGTGGCTTCCAAACCTGACTCTGGAGCATCTGCAGGGATGACTTCCCGGTTCTAGGTTTCTCATTATCTCCTCCGTGGAGATTTCCTTAACCACTCAAAGATACAAGTGTTGAAGGCAACACTCCATAATGAGAGGACATATAAGATATAGCCCCCTTCTGATCCATCCAGCCTCCTGTCTGAGATAATATAGATGCACCGTGTTCAGTAAATATTTTAGCCTGTTATAGACCTACATTTGAAATTTGTATACTATTAAAATTTCAATAATATTGAAAATTGTATAATAGTATAATATATAATTTGTATAAAAGAGAAGGTAATTAGAGAGAAAGTAGAGAAGAGTAGAAAAAAGAAAATATAGATTGTTCCATGTAAATGCGGTACGATTGGGGTCTTCCGGGGCAGTAACTGGAAAGCCTTGCTCTGAGAGTTTTATGCAAGCTTACTTATTTACTAGTTGCCAGAAGTTGGGTGAAAGTTTTCCTGGTCCTTCAACACTGAATTACAACGGAATTCCAATGGAGTTACACATGCCATCCCACTTGAATGCCCAGCAGGAACTTTAAGGTCACTGTGGTAATGAATGGCCAAAGAATTAATAGGAGTGGAGCCTTATGCGCCTTCCTTCCTGTCAGAACAGTACTCTGTTCATGGCTGAAAATATGTCTCCGACATGGCCACCACAGCTGTGCTGGGCACTTCAGAGATGGGGGCCTGTTTAAATCACCCTTCCTTCTTCCCTCATCAGACACATTTCTTTGACCATTATCAACCACACAACAGCCACATTTGTCTCCTAGAGACCTTCAAGCATGGAGACGGTTTTACCAAACGCCATGGCCTTCCTTCCTCAGTCTTGCTCCCGCTCCACATCCTCTTACCCTTCATGCTGCCAGAATGTCCCTCATCCAGTTTTTTCTCATGGACTTTTTCTACCCACTCAGGGCTCTGTATGATCTGCCTCGCCTTCAAGCACCAGCACTACCACCCACTGTCACACAGATATACTAAACCCCAATCATCTCCCTGGATCTAGCACGGTCTCGAGCTTTGAACCTCTGCAGTCTCCCACCTACTGAAGTCCCCATTCATTAACTCTTTGCTCAACTATCTCTTCCTGTTGTCAGACATGCTGATAAGATGTCTCTTCTTCAGAAGTGCCCCCCGTCTGTCTGTCTTTCTCTCCCCTACATCCCTTTCTGGGCTGGTCAGACCTCCCCTGCCACCCTGTCTTGCCTCTACCTCGCATCAATGCAACTGAATTCTAATTATTACTGTTCTCCCTCACTGGAAAATAGATCCCTAGAGGAAAATGGCATTCTAGTGTAGTAGTGAGGGCAGGTTCAAATTTAAGCTTCTTTGCTTACTAGTTCTGTGACCTTCAGTTACAGAGTTAATCACTCTGTGATTCCATTTTCTCATCTGTAAAATGGGTATACTAACAATCCTTAATCCAGAGGCTTGTTGGAATCATTTAATCTGATTCCTGTCAGCAACTTCTTAAAGAAATTACTACCTGTAAAGGGTTTACAATAGCATCTGTCTGGCACATGACATGAGCTGATGTTGCTATTATCATGGTTTTATGGACTATTCCTCATTCTTAGACCAGGTCAGTGCCAACACTCAGAACTGAGGGGTAATGAGTGAATGAAGGAAGAAGTATTACGACCTCCTCAACACTTGACTATTTCCTATTGTCACTTATGTTTCTGTTAAACAATTTTGAGGGTGACTTCAGAAATCATTTGTCAATTTATATGAAATCTAGGTAGGCATCAATATATGTAAGCAAAAATCCTCCTGTTCTTTAATTTTTCTTCTAAGACATTGATAATGGGAATAGCAACATGAAAATTCAGTAAAACTTGGGGCACCTGGGTGGCTCAGTCGTTAAGCGTCTGCCTTCGGCTCAGGTCATGATCCCGGGCTCCTGGGATTGAGCCCCACATCAGGCTCCCTGCTCAGCAGGAAGCCTGCTTCTCCCTCTCCCACTCCCCCTGCTTGTGTTCCTGCTCTCGCTGTGTCTCTCTCTGCCAAATAAATAAATAAAAACTTAAAAAAAAAAAAAAAAAAGAAAATTCAGTAAAACTTACCAAATTTGTTTAAAGATGATTTATAACTTATTTTATAAACAAAAAGAACATGTTTACTATGCCAACAATAAATGGCCACTCAAGAGCAACTGGATTTGATAAGGAATTGAGAAAGATCAGTATCCATAAAAAGTCCCATATAAGCTATTTATATTTCTTAATGTTCATTATAAACTGATTCCCCTGCATCTTGATATATAAAACTTTCCCTTGGCTTTTAGCACTAATATTAATCTCTTCTTTGCCCATGCAATTTCCTTTTTTTTTTTTTAAGATTTATTTATTTGAGAGAGAGAGAGAGAGCATGAGTGGGAGGGGCAGAGGGAGAGCGAGAGGGAGAGAGAATCTCAAGCAGACTCTGCACTGAGCGTGGAGCCCGACTCAGGGCTCGATCTCATGACCCTGAGATCATGACCTGAGCCAAAACCAAGAGTCAGACGCTTATCCAAATGTGCCACCTAGGCACACCTACCCATGCAATTTCTAAATATTATCTTCTTTACTTAAAAAACTATAATGGACACTAAGATAAGAAAAAGGGTATCCATGAATCTTTAGAAAGAACAACATAGTTGATATAATTCTGGATTTGAAGGAGGAAATAAGTTTAAAATTAAAAGAAAAAAATTTTAAATTGCTCTGTTCATTGGTACCAAATGAAGACCAAGTTAAACAGAGTTCATGATGTCTGAAACAAAATAAACAGGAATCTCAGAAACAGTCTTTCTTAACTGAGACTCCATTATAGATTTAGTCCTTGTGACCTAAGGTAGGAAGTGGCAAGCTATGGGTTGGATTTAAGTCAACTCTAGCTTGCCACCTGTTTTTGTAGATAAAGTTTTGTTAGAACACATATCACAGCCATTCGTTTAGGTATCAATGATGCCTTTTATACTTAACAGAGTTGAGTACTTGTGGTCCACAAAGATGAAAATATTTACTCACTGCCTCTCATAAAGAAAGTTTGTTGACCCATGTCAAAGGTACCCATGAATGTGATGAATTAACTTCACATCTTTCTATCCATGATGCTACTAGCTATGTATGGCTCTTTGGTAAGTTGAGAAAAAAAGCATTTACTGTGTTCCATGTTTCAGTTGAAAAAGGCAATTTTAGAGCATATTTCCTTCCCTTTTTATTTCTGAATAGGAAACTCTATTTTTTTAATCTATAATTTATCACCCAAATGAGGATACTTTTGAGAGTGAACTAATTATGCTGGGGCAATTGGTGTGAATTGGCCATATGGTCGCCCCGGTTCCAAGGCACTACCCAACTGTGAAGCTGACAAGCCCAAAGAACAAACCAACAAATATAAATACGGTTGCTCCAACACTGTAGCTTTTGTTTCTTTTGTTTTTGCATTTACTGATCCCTGCCCTCCCCACCCTCTTACCCCCACTGCCCTAATGTATGGCAGCTCTACTTCAAACAGAACACAAATGTAGAACTTACTTTTTAATTCTTTCTCCAAAAGAAGCTATTTCCTCCAAGACGTTTTGAACAGTTGAAACAATATCCTGTACCATATAGATTCTCTCAATTAACCCCTTTTTCTCAGATTCCTAGGAAACATAAAAGCAAGATTTAGCTCAGTCACTTCATTTTTATTGTCCCGCTATAGAAATTACTATACCGTGTTAAAATAACATGGTTATGATCAACAGAGTGACTCAAGAGATGAATCACATTTTTCACAACTTAAAGTATTTATTGACTCCAAAGAACTGTTGCCCACTCATTCAGATGCAACCACTCACATTGTGTCTCAGTCACTACCTCAGTGTGAGGAAGTGATGTGTGGAAGCCCCACAGAACCAAGAGTTTCATTTCTCTGTGGAAGCTACTGCTTCTGACAGAGAACTTGGCAGCCCCTTCCATTTGGCTGACCCCTGATTTCCTGTTTGGCTTCACAAGGTTATCTGCCAGCTCACCTTACCCCTATCCCCTCACAGTCCTTCAGGTATGTTTCCAGCACATGAAATTCAGATGATAGGTTTCCTAGTATTGTGGCTTCTTTGTCAAACTCTGCTGCATTTTTAGTCATGTTTTAAACCCACTGCAAGTCTGACAAACATTTCAGTCATCCTTTGGCAACCACCTCAGAAACAGAGTAGGCACCTGGAGGCAGACTATGAAGTCGCTGCCAGAGATTGCATCCTACACAGGTTACTCCCTTGGAGGATGCTCAGTGATTGACTGGCTTTTCCTTCATAGAAGTAAAAGCAAATACAAGTTCCCATCTTCCTCAGTCTCCAATTCTTCATGTGAAACAGAATTCAGCCTCCTAAGAACACTGTCCTTATTTTGCTTATAGAAAATCTCAAGTGTGTTTTACCATGTTAGGCAGCTAATGCTTATAAAAATAATTTAGAAATTACTCAAATGTTGGAGAAAAGAGGATTCCCTAAAGAGTGGTATTTTTACACAATTTCTTATATTCTGATACCATAATCTAGCTCCCTGGGAACTCTACTGGAACTGGGATTCAGCTAGTATCCTCTCAGCTCTTGCCTATCTGGGTCATTGTAGCCACTACATCTAACATATAATACCAAAAACCTCAAATTTTTCTTTATCTAGAATTTTACTTGAGTTAGAATTGTACTAAATTATGGAGAAAAACCTTCTAAATTTATGAGAGCATTTTAAGAATAATCTTCTGTGCAGCAAAAGAAAATATTTCACTCTCCTCTTGCATTCTCTGTTCCACCAAACTGGAAACAAGTTGGGTGGGAAGGGTAATCCACCACCTGGTGATTGTGCGTAAAAGCACCAGCATGGCAGAAATGTCACAAAAGCACAAACTTCCCTTCTCCCACCTGTCCTTGATTATGAAGCTACTTGGCAGAAACAGACCACAGAGAGGGCAGAGGTTAGAATGCACCACTGTCAGCCCCTCTTTAGTAAAGGGTGCTGGGATGGTTTGAAGAACCTCTTACCATCTGGGTTGAACTCCTTAATCCAAGCAGTCCATATAGAAGGAGAAGGCAGGCTCATTGTGTCCTCTTGCTACATCAAACTAGCAAAACATTTGTAGTTTTTCACCCCAATTTAAAATTCCTTATTTCCCTTACCCTCTAGTTCTTTAAGCAGCTTGCATTAAAAATTAGATATGCTGCCAGAGCAACCTAATTCATGCTCAGCAACATCTATTAATGGGCACAATGGTGAAAACCCATCTCTGTCTGCTACATAAGTATTCATGTTTATAAAGGAGGATTTTGAAAGCACCAGGGAATTTGACCCAAAGGGCAAAAGTAGCTTCCTCTTTTCAGCAGCGTAGACTTTAGGTCAAAACAATTTCTTGGAAAATGACTCAAATTTCCATGTGGCTCAAGTTCATAAAAACGTCGTAGTTCCACTGACTCTGTGTGTGTGTGACTGTGTGTGTGTCCCCCCACCCCAATGAAACACTCAAATGCCGAGGTTCTGGTTGTGAAGGAAGTATAAGTTAGTACACCAAAATAATAAATGATTGTCTCAATGTCCTTTTCCTTTTTAATGAATTTGATGTTTTAGTTTGCATATTTAATATTCAAAGACAAGGCTAAGAGTCCCACCATATCTAGGCTAGCAGGATAGTAATTTGTCAACCAAATCTTTACACTTTGAAGAGTAAAAGTAACCAGAGTTCCATAATTTTTGAAATATTTATCAAATATCAACTTGATTTTATCATATTGGTGAATCCACATGATTATTTCATTTTATTTTTATAAATACATTACTTAAAAAATTTTAAAAACATATTTTACGTATATTAAAATGAAATTTATGTTATCTGGACATTTTTAAATGATACATAAAGAATGATTATTTGTGCTACAGATTCATATATTTAACTGGTTTCCTAGTTATAGATGTTTATAATCCCAAGTCAGGGTACTTTTCAAAAGAATGTCCTTTTTAATACCATCTTTTTATATATTTCAGAAAACTGTTCTTAATCATCTTCAGAGCTGCACTTAATAGTCATTAAATTGACACCTTTAATTGACTCTGTGGATCATAATTTTAATTATGAAAATACTCTCTCTACAGGCACTGAGGTACCTTGAAATCTCACACCAAAAAATGTGTTACATGGAGAAAATCGTTATCAATTTTAATTTTTAAATGCTGAGATCCATATATATTTTCGCCCAAACATTTTCAAAGGCACTGCCTTTTTGTATCTGCATATGAATTTTCTCTGTTGAACATTTTTTGAAGACAAAACTTCAAGTAAGTTGTATCTGTAATTTCTTTGAATGTTTCACAAAATCTATGCTGCTAAATAAATGGCTTCTCAATTTCCTTCCATTCTTGGGTCAAATAGATATTTATTCTATTTAAAAATCAAAAGTTTTTTCCACAAATTGAGATATCCCAAAGGGTAAACTTCAGAATTAAATATTGAACCATGTACAACATTTGATCTCATAGTTTACTTTGTGCTGAATAGTCCTTGTTTTTGTGAAAAAAAAAATGCAGTGTCCTTTTTTCCAGTTCTTTTAAAATTTACTTGCACTCACTAAAAGCTTTCAAAGATGAAGTTACTTAGCATTTCAGTCATCGAAGATTTTGATTAAAAATTTCCAACTGATTATGACCCAAACGCAACAAAAAGAGATTTCTTTTTTCACAAGAGTTCAATAGCTCTGGAAAATGTTTAAGTTGACTAAGAGCTCTTCAAAGGTTCAAACATTCCTAAAATCAAACTGATGACCAGCAGCAAAAAAACAGAGTACACACTGCCACACTGCAGTGTATTTTTTATTTTTGAAATATCTTTGTCACAAAAAACTTTGTTTCTACCCAACACTGTATATATAAAATATTTATAATTATGTGTGGACACGACAGCTTCTAATTCAATCAATGGAGCATTATCATTTGTCTGTACACAATCACGGAAGGCAGCTATGCTCACCACTATACCACCAACGCCGTACACAATCATGGATAATCAAGGCACTGTGGCCAATCCCAAGTACATTTCTGCCTCACAAATGCCTTCATTTTGTAAGAATATCTTATTAGCCATAATGCTGTCCTCCATCAAAGTTTGCATTTATACTATCCCTACAAAATTAAATAATCCCCAATGCTAAATGTTGCAGTTAAATTTATGTTGGCATTCCTGATGTCAGAGATTTTATCATTTGTAAAACTAACTAGAAAAAGCTTTATTTTGGTTCCATATGTTGGTTGAAAAAAATCAAAATAATTTTAGAATTAACTTATTTGATATTCTGTTTCAATCGTTTGATGGCATCCAGATAAGACTGCCACCATTTTACTCTGCCCAAGATTTTTCAGACGTTAGTTCTATTGGGTCAACACATTAAGAGCTACCTTGCCATTTTTCATACATGTACAATGAAACCTTGGAATGGAAAAAATCAGATAAATGCAGAACAGTCATTTGATCTAAAAGAAAAGTCATACTCCACAGAGATATGTGAACACAAATTTTCGGCTTCATAAATAAAAGCATGTTTCCAGAAATGGTCTTCTTAATATAACTACTGGCTGCTGAAGGCTCTTTAGCAGATTTGTAACTTAAGTTTACATATACAGCTGATATGACCATGGCCCCAGGGGACAGACAAGAAATGTAAACACACATCTATCAGTTAGCTCATTGGTAATTATCTTGACAAATAGAATATCATTACTTGATTATTTCTTAAACATGAAGTCTGACTTTACTATTTACTCACTGAAAAAGCTTTATCAAACAGTAAAAAAAAGTTCAGATTTACTCATTGGAATGAGTGAAACAAAATATAAAGTGTTGAGACTACTTTTTATTCTTTTATCCACAGGACTGTTTAAATTCTGCATATACTTAACATACACTCACCCTATCATTTTTCATCTCCCCACTAACCCCACTAGAATTGGCAGTTTGGAGGCTTTATGCATCGTATAAATTTGGCAATAGCCATGCCCCAACAGGCTGGTATGCCATGTGACTGACTGGGGGGACTGGGGAGCATCAGAGGCTTCTCCACCACCACTTGAGACAAGAAGGGGTGAACTCATCTGAAAGCACTTTGTTTTATCAATGACCATCCAAAAGCTTTCCTTTAAAGCTAGGTTTTAGCGGCTTAGCCCCTGAAAAGGGTCAGGAAAATAGGTGGGTTATCCCTGCTTGTTATCCCTGGTTGGATTTAACCGGGTGTATGTGAGATCTCTGGTCACCGCACATGCAACCCCAGGGCTACTAGGAAAAACCACAGCAGAAGCAGAATGCACAAACGACAAGCCTAAGCAATTTATTGCAGTGTATTTGAACGGAAATATTAAATACAATACTTAGTATTTAAACAAAATGGAGGGGAGAGACAGCAAATGGAAATTTTCTGGGCAAATAGGGACATGTGGCATAGGATTCCAGTCCAGAACTCCAGAGCAAGTGTATCTCCATTACAAGAAGCCCCTTAAAAAAAAAAAAAAAAAGCCCCTTAACTGTCTAGTGGACATTTCACAAGGTAGGTATTCAACTCACACTTATTCTTTTTGGCATTTGCTTCTTCGATGTCTATGGGTTTCTGTTCTGTCTCTTTCTGTACCA